GTGTGTGTGTGTGTGTGTGTGTGTGTGTGTGTGTGTGTGTGTGTGTGTGTGTTTACCCCATACACAGATGGTGGATGGATGGATAAATGAATGAGTCCACTGGTTGGTTGGTTGGTCTAAGTTAATGAAAGGTTTTTACATATTCAAAATCCAATAACTTGATGAACTTAGAATAAAATCTAAAATTCTTGGCTCGTATGGCTTCTTATGATGTACCTACTGCCTACCCTAGAGTTTTCTCATACCATTTATTCTTTCATCCCATCTTGTTTTGGTCAAATTTGCCTTCCTTCAATACCTAGTATATGCTAAGTTCTTTTATGTCATAGAGGCTTTGAAAATATTCTTTATGCCTAAGACATTTTTTTAAATTCTCTAGCTGGAAGGCTTTGGATCTCCAAATCTAAATCTCCCTATTACAATCTCTCATTGTACTATTTTCCTTCCTTAAACTGACACAATTTATAACTATATGTTTAGTCAGTGATCAGTTTATTGTCTGACTTTTCGGTAAATGGAAACTCCATGTGGTCAGGGACTATGTCTGTTTTGTTTGCTATTTTCCCTAGTGTCCATCACAGTGCTTGTCCTATAGTGGAATTTATATTTATGTAATTTATGCATTTATATATACATTAATTTCTTTTTGAACATTTTAGATATTCAAGATGATGAAGTGGCAGAAACTGTTTACAGACATAGGAAGACACAGTTACCTTTGGAACTCACAGTGGAACTAACAGAAGAGACATTTAATGCGACAGTAGTGGCTTCTGATAGCATAGTGCTTTTCTACGCTGGTTGTGAGTATGAACCTTTAGAGGGGACGATATTACATATTAGAACATTTAAAGTTGGCGGATCTTATTTTTGCGTTCTATATATTGCCTGTTGTAACAGCTATGTAATAGCTTTCATAGTTCCCAGGTAGACTGCACATATTGAACAATTTACTAACTTAGATAAATTATTGTGATTCCAGCTAATGATTTTAATATTTTAACAGTTCTTATGGATCTATAGGAAATATATTGCTTTTATCTTCAAATAATAGCCCTTCAACTATATTCCTTGCAGTATGAGTGCAGAAAATTAGTTGCATTTGGAATCTTCTTGGATGTTTGCATAATACTGAGGACTATATATTAGAATTTCTTATTAAGAAGTAACAATTTTGGGAAACCCCATCAATCTATATGTTTGTTAATATATAGATATGGATGGAGATATGCATGTTGCAATATCTGTTGAATTTTTTGTTTCAATGTAGGGCAGGCAGTATCCATGGCATTTCTGCAATCCTATATCGATTTGGCAATTAAATTGAAAGGTACTGTAATGTGGTATGCATGCTTATTTGATTCTGAGCTGTAGCTATTTGTAAAACCATATCATGCTAAAGATGAATAAAACCACATAAGATTTCAAGTAATTATATTTGCATCTTTAACGTTACATTAATGAACCATGAGTTTCAAAAATGCTCAGAAGCATTTGTCTTGGCTCTCTTCATAGAACTGTCTTCAGTAGAAAGTAGAGAGCCTATGTATTAAGTACTGGAGGTCACACAGTCAATCCAGTAATCTTTTTGGCTGAATTGATTCATGTATTGAGTGTCTACTCTGAATCAGTTACTATTAAATATTATTAAATAAATACTGAATACACTTAAAAATTTGACACATAAGACTCAGTCTCACAGTCTAATCAGCGATCCAAGATCTCAATATTCTTAAAGCTATACAGTTAGCTCCTCATGAACTAGGATATTTTTTATTTCAAATTTTTATTTAAATTCTAGTTAGTTAACATATATAGCAAAATTGGTTTCAGATGTAGAATTTAGTGACCCATCACCCACATACAACACTTAGTGCTCACCACAAGTGCCCTCCTAAATACCCACTATCCATCCAGTCCATCCTCTGCCCACCTCCCTTCATCAACCCCAGTTGCTCTCATAGTCAAGAGTCTTGCATGGTTTGCTTCCCTCTCTCTCCTTTTCTTTTCCTTTCCTTCCCCTGTGTTCATCTGTTTTCTTCCTTAAACTCCACAGATGAGTGAAATCAGATGGTAGTTTTCTTTCTACTGACTGACTTATCTGATTTAGCATTATACAGTCTAGCTCTATATGATATTTCTTTTCTTTTTTCTTTTTTGTTTATTCATTTATTTTGAGAGAGAGAGAGAGAGTGTGTGTGTGTGTGAACAGGGGAATGGCAAAGAGAGAGGGAAAGAGAGAATCCCAAGCAGGCTCCACTCTGTTAATGCCGTGCCCAAAGCAGGGCTCGATCTCACAAATCGTGAGATTGTGACCTGAGCCAAAATCAAGAGTCAGATGCTTAATTGAGCCACCCAGGTGCCCCACAGGACCTTTCTTAATAGCCACAATCATTTAACTGTTCTATGAAACCTGATCCAGTGGTAGGCAAATAAGAATCCAAGGAATGGACTTGAACTCAATATATTTATGCCATCATCCCAGCAAAGACATAAGGAATATTGTTAGTAAGAAAGAGATAATGATGGAATCCAAGGAATGGACTTGAACTCAAAATATTTATGCCGTCATCCCAGCAAACACATAAGGAGTTTTGTTAGTAAGAAAGAGATAATGATGGAGGGCGCCTGGGTGGCTCAGTCGGTTGAGCGTCCGGCTTCGGCTCAGGTAATGATCTCACGGTAAGTTTGAGCCCCGCATCAGGCTCTGTGCTGACAGCTCAGAGCCTGGAGCCTGTTTCAGATTCTGTGTCTCCCTCTCTCTCTGCTCCTCCCCTGCTCGTGCTCTGTCTCTGTCTCTCTCTCTTTCAAAAATAAATAAACATTAAAAAATTAAAAAAAAAAAAGAGATGATGGATTAGGATAGTGTTTTGTAATCATTGAATGTATCATGCTTTATATCTGTAATATGATTTCTTCCTACTGTTTTTCTTGTAAATAAATAGAAGTTGTTCTAGTTAAACAGGCTTATTCTCATAGCTGTTATATGAATGTATTTAACATTTAGTTTTTTTGGGCACTAACCTACAGGCTCTTTCATTATTTAGTAAGTTCTTTATGGATAGGTAGCATGCCTTATACTTAGCTCACTGGACTTGACATATTGCCTTACACTGTAGAATATTTGGTTTTTAATAATTGTTGAATAAATGCATAAACTAATATAGTAGAGTTTAGTGGAAAATATATACTAGTGTACAACTTATTTATATATTGGGGACTTTGTAAACTCAAGAAATTGCTTCCAGAAAGTCAGTCCTAAATATAACATGTTCTATATTAATAAAAACATCAGAGATTTAAAAAATCACTTTTGAACAATTTCTCCTCAGTTCATTTGTTAACCACATTTGATCCAACTTTTGATTATTTGAAGTAAAGATATTATTAAGTCTGTAGATATTGTGATTCCTAATCTTTTTTTAAAAAAAGCAAATCCTGTTACTCTCTTTCAGATTCTTCTTTATGGTTACAATCTATGGAAAGATTCAAGTTTCTCCTTTTAGGTTCTCCAGGCTCATTGGCAAAATATTAGAAGAGAGAAAATAAAAGGGGGGGAAATATAAACCATATTGAAGTAATAATTAGATAATGTCCCTGAATAATAGAATTATCCCTCCATCCAGCCCATTTGTCAGATACTAAATGAAAATGGAAAAAGATTCCTTTACTTTCTTCTCTATTAATGATCAAATAAAGAGCCTACCTGATCTCTCAGTCCCAGGACTCTGAGTTGTATGTGTTTGTAGAATAAAAAGCAGATAACCAACCCAAGACGTGATTTCCTTTTTCATTTAGTACGTTCTTTGTAACAGTCCTTTTAGTAATTAGATATTGGATAAATAGAGTGTTTTAGAAGTTCAGGGGGCTTAATGTAGAGACATGTATAGGTAACTATAGTGTTTTATGTCTGCATTGAAGCCCATACTATAACTTTGTAAATTAGGAGAATATTTTAATACTTTGGGCATTTAGTCCTATAACCTTTCACATTGACTTTAATGGGGAAAAGCCACTTTTCATCTTAGTCAAAGATGATGAAGGATATTTTATCCTCAGTCACAAGGTGGCAGCAAATATCAAGTATTTATACTTACCTAGCCTCTAGCTTAGAGAACCTGTTTGGTTTGTTTTGTTTTGTTTTGTTTTTTCATTTAAATTGGGAACACTGTTTGAAATTCCTGCATTGATAAAGTATGGAGGATGTAATACTGCAGACATCTTAGAATATTAGACTGTTCTAGTTGAAACATGATTAAATATTGAAACCATTTTACTTAATTTTTAAAGTTTATTTATTTTGAGAGAGAGTGAGAATGTGCCAGTGTGGGAGGGGCAGAGAGAGAAGGAGAGAGAGAGAATCACAAGCAGGCTCTGCATTGACCGCGTTAAGTCCAACCCGGAGCTTGTACTCATGAACCACCTGGGCCGAAACCAAGACTCAGATGCTTAACCAGCTGAGCCACCCAGGTGCCCCTAAATATTGAAAACATTTTATAGGGAAAAAAATTAAAATTTTAAATTGATAACTTTAATATAAGTTAGCCTTATCACTTTTTTTCCCCGTTTTATTCATTTTTCAGTTTTGAAGATAACATCAAATTTTTCAACTTGGGCTGCAGGGACAAAGGAATAATAACTTTTTTAGCAGTGATAGACCTGTTGAGAATGCCTATTGAAGGGAAAAAACTGCATTTGTAATAGTTCTATATTTCATACTTGGGTGGCATTATATAATACAGTACTCTGTATGAATAAGTATCACTAGATATTTGTTGACGAAATGATTAAAATAACAGATGAAAGAACTTTGTAGAGAAGTCATTTCGCAGATGTAATTTCAGAAGGAATAAGGATTTATTTTTGTTTATATGTTCATACAATATTCAGGTTTAATATACTTTAGTGTTAAAAATGAAATTTTGTTCATGAAGAAATATCAGGGTACATTCCACAAATTTTCACTGGGTACGTACTAAGTAACAGACATTGTGCTGTGCAGCAGGAGTATAGTGGTGAATAAGACAGACTGCACCCTGTATGAGTTATCAAACAGATAGCTAACAGGAGATCTGAAGTGATAAGTTATTGCATCTGAGTGGTATAATCTAGAATTATTTAAGATAAAAATTTTTAATATTTAAAATTTTTTGGTGACAAAATATTAAAATATTTCAGTTTACAACTTTAATTATATGGTGAGGTTATACCCTACATTAGGAAATATCCCAAATTGATACAGTTTCCTTCTTTGATGCAATATTAAGGTTTCCTTTTATTAGAATGTATTTTTTACTCTTAGTAGTTGAGTTGTGTGGTTCTTGTTTTATTTGGGTTTTGAACTCATTCTGCCTAACAATTTACATATTTTGGAGAACTTTACATATATTATTTACAGAACAAGTAAGAATCGTATTTGTGATTCCACTATATGTTTTTTAGGCAGAAAATAAAGTATTTAGATAGGATGGTGTTTCATGTAGGAGGACTCCTCTAGATGTGAAAATCAGTGTTGAGTAAAACAACACTGTCCCTACTCTCAAGGAGCTCTCTTCGTAGAGACAGACATTAGTCATGTAACAACACAAATGAGTATGTAATTAATGAGACAAGGACGGGAGATGGTTCATAAGAGCAAAGGAAACTGATGTAGATTAGCGTGTCTGAGAAGGCTTTCTTGTAGTGATCATACATGCAGAGATCTGAAGGGATGAGAGAGACCTAATGGCAAAGGTTGGTAGGAGTTGGCTGATCCCAAAACAGATTCGAGTTTTGAAAAGATATCTATCTCTAGGTTCAGGGTAGAGACATAATCAGGTTCAGGGAGACAAAGTAAGAGCCTATTGTATTATGTAGGAGAAATGATGGCTGGAGTACAGTCAGTAATGAAAAATGGACAGATGTGAGAGGCAGTTGACCCTTGAATAAGGTGGGGATTAGGGATACCAACTCCCCCGCATTGTCAAAAATCCTCATGTAACTTTTGACTTCCCCCACACTTTACTAATAGCCTGCTGTTGGCTGGAAGCCTTGCTGATAACATAAAGAGTCAATTAACATATATTTTGTGTATTATGTGTATTATATACTGTATTCTTTCAGAAAGTAAGCTAGAGAAAAAAATGTTAAATTGTAAGAGAAAATACATTTATAGTACTGTACTGTATCAGAAAAAATCCACGTGTAAGTAAACCTGTGCATTCCAAACCCATGTTCAAAGGTCAAATTGTATTTTTTTTTTTTTTTTTACATTTATTTATTTTTGAGAGACAGAGCACAAGCAGGGGAGGGGCAGAGAGAGAAGGAAACAGAATCCGAAGCAGGCTCCAGGCTCCGAGCTGACAGCACAGAGCCTGATGCAGGGCTCGAACTCACAAACCATGAGATCATGACCTCAGCCGAAGTCGGATGCTCAACTGACTGAGCCACCCAGGCGCCCCAAGGTCAAATTGTATTTAAAGTTTAGGTGGTCTGTTTTCTTCTTAAATTCCACATGAGTGATATCATATGTTATTTGTCTTTCTCTGACTGACTTATTTCGCTCAGCATAATACTCCAGCTCCATCCACATCATTGCAAATGGCAAGATTTCATTCTTTTTAATGGCTGAGTAATATTCCACTGTGTGTGTGTGTGTGTGTGTGTGTGTGTATTTATATATACCACCTCTTCTTTATCCATTTATCAGTCTATGGACACTTGGGCTCTTTCCGTAATTTGGCTATTGTTGATAGTGCTGCTATAAACATCAGGGAGCATGTGTCTCTTCGAATTTCTACTTTTTATCCTTTGGGTAAATACTAGTAGTGCAATTGCTGGGTGGTAAAGCAGTTCTATTTTTAACTTTTTAAGTGAGCAGTGGGTGTTGTATGCAAGTGATGAATCACTAAATTCCACACCTGAAACTAATATTACACTGCATGTTAACTAACTGGGATTTAAATAAAAACTTGAAACTCTAAAATAAAGTTTAGGTGATAAGATGGAAAAGACATGCTGATTGATTTGACTAGACATGGAAGTTTAGGAATGGAGTGACACTAAAGGTGATACTTTGTTTTCTGATTTGTGTAAGAATGGCAGCCTATAGGCAGGAAACCATAGACATATTGAATTTGAGGACGTTTCCATTCAAAGAGAAATACAGAAGGCAGTAGGGATACATGGGTCTAGAACTGTAAGGAAGAGGCTGGGTCAAAGATAAAAATATAGGATTCATTCTGTTGTTGATAATTACTGAGATTGTCTGGGAAGAGAGTGTATAACAAGAGAAGGCAACTTAAACTGAGCCTTGAGGAACTCCTATCTCTGCTGTCAGAAGAACATGCAAAAGGGACCAAAACAGAACAGCACAGGAGGTGGGGAAATAAGCCAGAAGGGGAAGGTGTTGCAAAACTCAGGGGAAGAGAGAGTCCTGCAGAAACAGTTCATGCTGATGAGAGGTTAAAATAAGAATGGACAATAAAAATATTGTCAAGTCTACCCAACTGAGTTTTCTACACTAATATTTATAAAATGTGCATTTTCATTTTATTTAGGCACATCCTCTATGCTGCTTACTAGAGTGAACTGTGCAGATTGGTCTGATTTATGTACTAAGCAAAATGTTACTGAATTTCCAGTTGTAAAGATGTACAAGGAAGGCAAGCACCCAGTATCTTATGCTGGTATGTTAGGAACTGAAGATCTCCTAAAATTTATCCTGCTGTAAGTATTCACATTCTTCCTAAGACTTTAAAAATTTTAGGTCTATAAACCTTCTAATTCCCATGCTTTGTTGATATACTTTGAATAGGTTAAGGAGTAATGAATTGAGATAACAGGATAAATGGTGGGGAGAGCCTATCCACATCACTTTTGGGGAGATAGAAATTTTATTTAATGAGGGTGATTTTTTTTTAAATTACAAGAGTATTTAATTGTCTTTGTTTTGTCAGATATTTATCGTGTGGAATGTAGTGTTTGCTAAGTTCAATATGTTTTATTTTTTATTTTTTGCAAGCTGAAAAGTGTCTTTAAAAAATAATTTTGAATGTAGTTATATATTCATTCAGCAACAGGATTTCATGCCCAGTGAACATAACATCTGTGCAGGAAGCAGAAGAATATTTAAGTGGGGAATTATATAAAGACCTGATCCCCTACTCTAGTGTGTCTGTGCTGGGACTATTTAGCCCAAACATGACCACAGGTGAGTAGAAGTGAACTTTTAAATTATGTAATAGTTAAAAACTTGCTTACTAGCTTTACTTTTAAAAAGGAATTAGTATTGGGGCGCCTGGGTGGCGCAGTCGGTTAAGCGTCCGACTTCAGCCAGGTCACGATCTCGCGGTCCGTGAGTTCGAGCCCCACGTCGGGCTCTGGGCTGATGGCTCGGAGCCTGGAGCCTGTTTCCGATTCTGTGTCTCCCTCTCTCTCTGCCCCTCGCCCGTTCATGCTCTGTCTCTCTCTGTCCCAAAAATAAACGTTGAAAAAAAAAAATAAAAAGGAATTAGTATCTTTTTAAATTATAGAGAACTCAAATTATAGAATTTTTAAAATGCAGAGAAATTTGAAGAAAAAATAAAAATCCAAAATTATAGTTATTAAATTTTGATGTAATTCCTTCCCTCATTTTTCTTTGTACCTATCTTTGTACCTACCTTTCTTTGTACCTAAAGCATATTAATATGTTTTAATATAATTGGACTAGTACTGTGTATCTAGGTTAGTAACTTGCTGTTTTTATTTAATATTACATGGGTTCATCTTTTCCATGTGATTAGTATTCTTCAGAAACATTATGGCTGTATATTTGGATGAATATACTGTAATTTAACTATTTACCAACAAATAACACCTGTTGTTTTCCTTTTTTCTTTTTGCTGTGAAGAATATTTTTATTTATGCATCTTTGTGTGGAATTTAGACCATTTAATGGATAAATTGATAAATTGATAAATTGATAAATTCCCAAAAGGAGAATAACTATGTTTTCTATAAGCTGTGTGTTATATGTGTTATTCATTTTTAGAAATGGGTTTTTAGTGCTTGTCTAATGAATTACTATGAGATTTTTATGTATTAAGGTTGTTAAGTTCTTGTCATTTGTTTCAATTATTTTCCCCCAGTTTGTTTAGTTTTTAGCTTTGTTTAATAATTTTATATTTAACAGTTTAAAATTTGTTTTCAAATCCATTGATTTTGATATTTCTTCTATTGATTTCAATTATAGAAAATCTCTATCATCTTTATCAGTTAGTATTCACCTGTATATTTTCTTTTTGCTTTAATTTATAATATTTTCTTACTCTATATTATCTTCCTTTGAATATTTTTTAAAATTGTGGTAAAATATACATAACATAATTTACCATCTTAACTATTTTTCAGCATATAGTTCACTAGTGACAAGTATATATACATTGCTGTACAACTAATCTCCAGAACTTTTTCATTTTGCAAAACTTAACTCTGTACCTATTAAACAACTCTACATTTCCCTGTTGGCCTAGTCCCTGGCAGCCTCCGTTCCACTTTGTATTTCTATGAATTTGACTACTCTGGGTACTTCCTGTAAGTGGAATCATACAGTATTTGTCTTTTATTGGCTGGCTTACTTAGCATGATGTCCTCAAGGTTCATCCATGTTGTATCATATGTCAGAATTTCCTTTCTTTTAAAGGCTGAATAATATTTCGTTGTATGTATATAGCACGTTTTACTTATCCATTCATCTGTTGATGGACACTTGGATTGTTTTTACCTCTTGGCTATTGTGCATAATGCTTCTGTGAACATGGGTGTTCAAATATATCTTCAGGACTCTGCTTTCAATTCTTTTAGATATATACCCAGAAGTGGAATTGCTGTGTCATATGATAGCCCTACTTTTAAATTTTTGAAGAACCACTATACTGTTTTCCCTAGTGGCTGTACCATTTTATATTCCCACCAATAGTATACAAGGGTTCTAATTTCTCCATATCCTCAGCAACACTTGTTATTTTCTGTTTGTTTGTTTGTTTGTTTGTTTTTGATAGTAACCATCCTAATGGGTGTTAGGTTTGATTTGATCATGGTTTTGATTTTCACTTTCCTAATAAGTAGTGATATTGAACATCTTTTTATGTCTTGTTGGCCGTTTGTATATCTTCTTTGGAGAAATGTCTATTCAAGTCCTATGCCCATTTTTTAATCAGGTTATTGTTGTTGAGTTGTAGGAATTCTTTATATATTCTGGAAATTAACCCCTTATCATATATATGAATTGCATGTATTTCTTTCTGTTCCATGGAATACCTTTCCACTTGTTGACTGTGTTCTTTGACCTTTTTTCTTTTTAAGTCTTTACCATTTAGATATTTTTTGTGCATGATATGAAGCTGGAGACAACTCTATTTTTGTCTAAATAGTTAATTATCTTTTTTCCCCTCTTTTTTTTTTTTATTCCACTGTCACCTTATTAAATCCATGTCTGTATGTGTGTATATATATCTGTTTAAATGTTTTCTCTTTTATTCACTTTTATCTCCCTAATATAATAGTTTTTTAATACGTGTTGAATATATAATTGGGTCAACTCTGGTTTGCCTTTTTTTGCCTGTTGACTCTTCCAGGTGAACTTTGGTCCTTTACACATAATTGTCTCAACTTATTTGTATGTCCGTTGCTTGTTTTATGCTTCACTATTATCTCTTTAGTTAGTTTAGTCTACATGGAATATGCTTTCAATTTCTTCTGTCATCTTTTTCTCTATATGGGCTTCTATAGTCTTGTATTGTAAACTCAGATTATCATTATTCTTGAACTTTTTTTTTTGCATTATATATTTCTCTTCGAATTTTTTGCATTTTTCTAGCATTTTATTATGAAAAATTTCAAACTTACAGCAAAAGTTGAAAGATTTTATAGTGAACAGCCATATACCCATCATCTAGTTTCTACTATTAGCATTTAACTTGTACTTGACTTAGCATGTGCCTGTGCATCTTTCCATCCTTCTTCCATCCATCAATTACTTCATCTTATTTTTGATGCATTTCAAATGTTTTTTCTTTTTTTAAAAAATTTTTTAAATGTTTTATTCATTTTCTGAGAGAGAGAGAGAGAGAGAGAGAGAGAGAGAGAGAGAGAGAGCGAGAGCGAGCAGGCAAGGGGCAGAGAGAGAGAGGGACACACAGAATCCAAAGCAGGCTCCACAGCCTGGAGCCTGACGTGGGGCTCGAACTCATGAAACAAGATCGTGACCTGAGCCGTAGTCAGAAGTTTAACTGACTGAGCCACCCAGGCGCCCCAAATTAATGTTTTTTTTTTTTTTCATTCAGCGTTGATACATTGCTGATAGCAATTAATTTTACCTTGTTAGTTTTACATAGATAGCATCATAGACTAGAGTGTTCTTTTGATATCACATCTTCTCTATTTTTAGACTATTTTTTTCTAGCTTCATAGGAATGTCCTACAATAAGTTTTAAAGGAAGTGTACACAGGGCATTCTTCCTAACTGGTAATATTGCTTAGAATGTTATTCTCTTGCTTTTGCATACGAATGGTTTCTTGACTAGGTAACAAAATCCTTAGTGGTGGTTTTTCTTTTTTCATCATGTTAGCTGTTGGCATTTATCTAACAAACCTGCCCCCTTACTTTTCTTTCATTTAAGATGAATTTCAAATTCTGAATAAAATCTTTCAAGGATATTTTTATGGAAAGAATATCCCCATATCTAGCATCAAACTTAAAGATAGTGGATACTATCTTCTATCTACTTATTAAGTTTGCTTTCTACAAGTTTCTGTCTAGTAATTTTTCCCCTCTACTTGGCCTTCACAATCTTTTAAAATAAAAGCCAACATAACTTACTAGAAAGAAATGATAAGAATATGAATGCGTGTTCTGTGACTTCCCATCTTAGAAGGCAAAATCCTAGACGGGATAGCTTTTTCATTTGTATTTTTATGAAAAATTGTGAAATGAGGGAGTTTATTTTTTACTCCTGTATTTTTGCCTTTCTAATGTTTTTGCTTCCACCGTTGACTTTGTCTTCTGTCTACCTCTGGTGCCCTGAGGTTGTCATTTATTTACTCTGGGCCTCCTTCCAAAAAGGATTAAGGTCTTTAGATAATAAAAAGTACACATACAATAAAATCATTAAAACAAGAATAAGAGTTAAGCCATAAAAGAGTAGGGGATAATTATGTAGAATACTTTGAAAACACTGCAGTTGATCATAAAACTTAACCCTAAGTAATCTGGTATCAACTGGAAACAGAAAGATGAAATTTTTGCCAGCTAATCATCGTTATATGATAAATGGCAACATAAAAGTTAGGATGCTGACTCATCCACAGAGAAAACTTTTCCCTGATTGTAAATGCTGAGAGGGATTTTACATATATCTTTTATGTAATAGATCAGCACAGGGAACAGTATACTTTATGATAATTTTGTACAAATGATAAGATTTACATATAATTGTCTCTCAACACAAGTCAAAGGTATAGTGTTAAAATATATAGAGATCGTTTTGCTGTGCCAGAATGATGTAATCTGGGGACAATGCTTTTTTATTATTTCACTAGATTGATTGTTCTCAGACTTTTCAGTCAGGTATTCATCTCTTTTTTGTTGTTTTTGTTTTTTGCAGATGTCCAGGTGATAGTTACTGTACTTTCAATATCTATTGAATGAGAAAATGTGTAACAGTAAAAGGCTACTATGAATTCATTAACATTTTATGTACATTTGTATTTGACTCATAAATATAACTACTGACATTTACTGTGCAGTTATTTTATATCAGATACTGATTTATTGTTCATGTAGATTCTAATGATTTAAAAAAAATTTTTTTAATGTTTATTTATTTTTGAGACAGAGAGAGACAGAGCATGAGCAGGGGAGGGGCAGAGAGAGAGGGAGACACAGAATCTGAAACAGGCTCCAGGCTCCGAGCCGTCAGCACAGAGCCCTACGCGGGGCTCGAACTCACGAACTGTGAGATCATGACCTGAACCGAAGTCGGACGCTTAACCGACTGAGCCACCCAGGCGCCCCGATTCTAATGATTTAAAGATTAATATAATGCGAATTCAATGAGGGCGAAAATGTCTCCTTTGTCCATTGTTGTATCTGCAGGTCTCTCTCTGTTTTTTCCCTCTGTAATTAATAAGTATGTTGTGGGGATAGAATGTAAGACTTTGTAAACATCCTGTTTCTCATTATACTTTTGCACTCCAGTGTTAGAATCCATTGCTTGAAAGAGCTATCACTATGATGGTTGCCAGTGGAAAATTTCTAACTCCCTATTCCTTCTATATACATACTCAAATAGTTCTCCTGTAAGAGCTTTTCCTTCTAATTTGTTTTTCAGTATGGACACCTGAGTTCTTATTTTATTCAGTGGGTTATAATCAGTTACAATCATTCATTTGCTAACATCTCAGATTTGGTCAGTGGGAGCCCCTTCAATCTGACTCCTGTGTCCTTTTGACATGTCTCCATCATTCTTTCAGTATGTCCTTTTGGCACAAGATGTTCCCAGTTTCATTTATGGGATCAGCCATTTCTCCAAGAGTCTAGGTTCCTTTTAGTGGGACATTGAATTCAGAAACCAAGATCTAGGGATTAGGAGTGCTTTTAGTTACTGGAGGGCTCTTGTTTCTCAACTCTTGTTGACAGAGCTAAAAAAATAAGTGTGTGTAGTAGTATGTGTATATATGTGTGTGTATAAATGTAACTATTCAATAAAATGTGATAGTGGGAAAACAGTATTGCTAAACTACTGTATTTATTTTATGCAATTAAAACATGTTTATAGTTACACAACTAAATATTATAACTATTATTACATCCCAGATACATTTATTGTGATTTAAAAACCTTTTTATTTAGATTAACTGATTATTTTTTTATACTTGGGGTTGCAGTATATTCTGACATATATGCTGTTTTCACCAAGGAGGAGAATATGCTTGGTTTTAAGTGTTCAGAGGATAACTGGCAGTCTGGTTTAGTAGAAGTGGATATGTTTCGGGGCGCCTGGGTGGCGCAGTCGGTTAAGCGTCCGACTTCAGCCAGGTCACGATCTCGCGGTCCGGGAGTTCGAGCCCCGCATCGGGCTCTGGGCTGATGGCTCAGAGCCTGGAGCCTGTTTCCGATTCTGTGTCTCCCTCTCTCTCTGCCCCTCCCCCGTTCATGCTCTGTCTCTCTCTGTCGCAAAAATAAATAAACGTTGAAAAAAAAATTAAAAAAAAAAAAAGAAGTGGATATGTTTCTACAGTCTTAAATGCTTCCATTATGAGCAAGTAAATTTATGAAGAGCCTTTTAAGAAACGTATTCATGAGTAGAGAGGCTTCTGTGTGAGGAAAGTACATGGAAATATTAGTGTAATTTTCCACTGTTCTTTACCGAAAAAGAAAAGAAGCTGAAACAGGTTCCATTATGTCATTGCTTTAGCTAATGATCATCAATTATTGACCAGAATTTAGCTCTGTTTTCTCTTAGAAATGAAAGTATAGGGACTCAGTTCTTTCCAGTTTTTTTCATATGAACCTTTTCTGCTTTGGTGTAACACAGGCTTTAGAAAATATTTTCTGTGATAGTAACAGTTTCTCATTAAATTCATGGTTATAAATAGCTCTGAATGCTGCCTACTGGCTGACTGTGCCACTTTAGTAAGTTGGCTTTCCTACAGTGTTTCTCAGTCTTGTGGAAAGTATGCATCCTTTTTAGAGAACATAACCTTGTGGTTACCTGATGGTAACAGTGCTGATGTTCACACCAGAGATATAGTCATGACTGCTAAGGTACAGATCTTTTGGGTTCAGCATGTCCAGAGCACGAGGTGCTTTATGACTCAATTCTTCCATCATGAATTTTCTGTTTGAACTGCCATGAACCTTCCTTGTAGTGAGCTAAATTATCATCTGGTCTTCACTTGGCAAGAATACATCATTTATATAAGTTTTCCTCTGCTCTTTTCTCATTGGTCTGCAAGTATTTAATTCACAGTTGCTTCTTGGTTATAAGATAGTCATTAACATGAATCAGAATATACTATTACCTATGATACTGTATTCAGAATGCTATAGAAATAATAATTTTTAAATATCCTAACAAATGAGAAAAGACTGACGCATAAATTAATCAAGGTTCAAAAGTAACAAAAACGCATTACAGAAAATATAGGAAATAAAAAAAGATACAAATCCCTCATAATTGCAGAATCCTAACACAGACATTATTAAAGGACTATAATTTCTAATCTTCTATTTTTTCTGTGCATATAGGTACTTTTAGATTTTGTAATGACAGTGCGCACATTATTTCACATATCTCCTTCTCTTTCCAAACTATATATAAGGCAACCAACTCTATTTACCCACATTAGAGTGTAAATTAAAAAGCAACAAATATTTATTCAGTAACTCTCTATGATTAGAGTGCTGTAAATCTGATAAATCACATTTACAGTACATTTGTTTAGGGAACCATAATTGCATTATATCAATTTACATTTCTATAGTAATCAAATGTCATAAAAAGAACACAGATTTTAGAACCACTAAGTTATATAAGATCTACCTGTAAATATTTATCTTTATAATTAATTTCTAATAAAGCACAATCATTTATAAATCTATCCATCGGTTGAATAGCACACATAATTTTAAAGGTTTCAGATTTTTGTCTTGTCTATGTATTTATAGCAAAAGAAGATTTCACCAAAGCGGGAAACTACCTAACAGGATGTGTTATCACTGGAATTTATTCTGAAGAAGATGTTTTGATACTGTAAGTTTATTGGTCTTCTAATTTTAGAGAGGAAGAAGTTTGCAAAATAATACATTTCTAGTTTTTACACAGTTGAAGGAAAATAGGGCAGCAATATAACTAACTTTGATTTTTAATTAAATGTTTAATTTCCTTGTAAGAAGATCTGGGCAGCAGCATCTGGCTATTTAGAATTCTTAGATACTCTTTTGCTTTAGGCTAGAGTCCCTACAGGGGCAACCTTGGATTCATAATACTTTATCTTTCTATAAAAATTTTTCCGGTTTGGGTTCTATTATCTGCAACTTTGGTTCTCTGAAATTGTCATAGTTTTGGGGGGAATTTTACTTCTTCAAGTGTCCAGGTTTTGATTTGCCACCAAGGTATATATAAAAATGAGAATTTCCCCATGTTGTTGCTCTTTTAGCCATGTAAGTTGCTTTATTTGTAGAATGTGGAACTCAGATATTTCACTTGCCTCAGAAAGAAGGACTGAACATTTGGAGATTATTACATATACAATACATACAGTAATACATCTATATCACATTCTGCATTAATGGCTTGTTTTCAGGTCCAGATGGAGTTGGTAAGCCCCCTCCCTAGTTTATCTTGCTTATTATAGTATTCCTAATTGTGATTTCTGAGCTTAAATCTTCCATCATGAACACTGGTGATGTATACTTTTGATGATCAAGCTCCATTTCTGCCCATGAAGTCAATGACTTTTGAAAAGTAAATACTGAACTCCAGATCTTTAAGAAATAAGAGACTTATTCACCTGACACATGGATAGTCACCCACTATGTTCTGTTCTGCTGTCATTGTGCATTTAACTAAGATCCAAAGCGCTAGACCAGTAGTTGTCAGAGTATGTTTTATTTATAACCAACTGATCATCTTAAGAGGTAATCTAAAGGCTGGACTGTCCACTAATGTTTATAATATTATAATGTTTATACTTGGTTCTAGCATCAGTTTTTACATCATATAAATGTGACTACTTCAGGGGTGGTTTTACAGAAATCATTTTTTTCTGTTTAGTGATTTCCCTTTAGTTTAGTTAGCAAAAGTAGTGGTAAGAAGGAGCAGATTTAGGCTGTGTTACAGTGGAGAGAGCATAGAGTTTATATCTGGGGCACCTCAGTTTGAATCCTGTCTCTGCCATTTATCACTCTCTGAGTCCTGGTTTCCTCATCTATAAAATGGGGGTGATAGTGGCATACATTATAGGGCTGTTCTGGGGTTAAGTGAAAACTAAAGGCATCTAAAAGAGTGCCTGGCAAATAGTAGGTTTCTAATAAATGCTTGTCTCCTTGCTTAGCAGTATGGTGAGCAGTCCAAAAAGATTGAGAACCATTCAGTATGTTCCTAATCCTATTTAGACATTTTCTTGATGAGTAAGTTGTCTAGAAAAAAAAAAAAAAGAATCTGTCTAGATTATTATCTGTTGCTTTCTTTTAATCTAGGTTGTCAAGGCTCCTAAATTTCTTCAGACAGCCTCACAAAGAAGATAAATTTGCCTGCAAATTGAGTTCATTTCTTCCTTACTAGTAGGGCTTCTCATTTGCTGCCTCCCAATCTGACCTCTTGGTGTAATTATTTGTTTTTGATGACTTGCTATATTTTATTGGAAATTTTAACACTGCGTTTCTCCAAAGGTCAAATAAATATGGGGCAACACTTCCAGCTCTGCTGCTGGCCAGACACAAAGAGGGCAAAGTAGAGAGCGTTCCATTCGCTAACTCCCGTGTGCAAGACATGGTTCAAATAGTGACAAATGCATTACTGGAGACATTTGTGAGTATATTTTATAATAAGGATATTATTTGAAATAGAGAATCTAGAAGAGTTAAAAATAGTATATTTTAATACACAATTTTTCAGCTTTTTTTGGCAGAGGGCATGATGTTTTATGAGCTGAAAATTCATTGGGTTGCTCTGTTTTGTTCACTCATTATGATATAGCTTCTGTAGTCCACTGCCACAAGTTTACATGTTTTTGGATTATTTTTTTTATTGTGGAGACTAGTGTAGCTGATAGCTAGTTGAAGGAAGTACTCAATCTAAGCTGAAACTTGGTATAGAGCACATGGATTCTGGGGAGTCAGACTGCCTAAGTTTAAATCCTTCCTTCTTTCCTTACTGGCTCTTTGTTAACTTCTCTGTGCCTCACTTTCCACATGTGTAAAATGTAGTTGATGGTAGTACCTGCTGCAGAGACTTATCATGAGAACCAAATGAGACCAGTGTACAGTGTTTTGGGTAGTGTTTGGCCACTGGTAAACATTAAACAAATGTTAGCTAAGATTCTTATTTATACAGTTTCAGAACAAAGTAGTGTCTTATGAAAGGCCTTTTCCAGTGCATCCTTTGAAAATAGTGGATTCAAGGGCATAACACTTTTTTTTTTTTTTAATATATGAAATTTATTGTCAAATTGGTTTCCATACAACACCCAGTGCTCATCCCAAAAGGTGCCCTCCTCAATATCCATCACCCACCCTCCCCTCCCTCCCACCCCCCATCAACCCTCAGTTTGTTCTCAGTTTTTAAGAGTCTCTTATGCTTTGGCTCTCTCCCACTCTCACCTTTTTTTTTTTTTTTCCTTCCCCTTCCCCATGGGTTCCTGTTAAGTTTCTCAGGTTCCACATAAGAGTGAAACCATATGGTATCTGTCTTTCTCTGTATGGCTTATTTCACTTAGCATCACACTCTCCAGTTCCATCCACGTTGCTACAAAAGGCCATATTTCATTTTTTCTCATTGCCACGTAGTATTCCATTGTGTATATAAACCACAATTTCTTTATCCATTCATCAGTTGATGGACATTTAGGCTCTTTCCATAATTTGGCTATTCTTGAGAGTGCTGCTATAAACACTGGGGTACAAGTGCCCCTATGCATCAGTACTCCTGTATCCCTTGGATAAATTCCTAGCAGTGCTATTGCTGGGTCATAGGGTAGGTCTATTTTTAATTTTCTGAGGAACCTCCACACTCCTTTCCAGAACGGCTGCACCAGTTTGCATTCCCACCAACACTGCAAGAGGGTTCCCGTTTCTCCACATCCTCTCCAGCATCTATAGTCTCCTGATTTGTTCATTTTGGCCACTCCGACTGGCGTGAGGTGATATCTGAGTGTGGTTTTGATTTGTATTTCCCTGATAAGGAGCGACGTTGAACATCTTTTCATGTGCCTGTTGGCCATCTGGATGTCTTCTTTAGAGAAGTGTATATTCATGTTTTCTGCCCATTTCTTCACTGGGTTATTTGTTTTTTGGGTGTGGAGTTTGGTGAGCTCTTTATAGATTTTGGATACTAGCCCTTTGTCCAATATGTCATTTGCAAATACCTTTTCCCATTCCGTTGGTTGCCTTTTAGTTTTGTTGGTTGTTTCCTTTGCTGTGCAGAAGCTTTT